GACAGTGAATAGAGCAGTGAAATTGCAGGGGAATGATCTATACACTAAAACTGCTTTATTTAGCTAAAGTAATTTAGGTGACTATAGTGTTCCTTTAATGATTTAAACGAATAAGAGAGCGCAAAATAAATAAAAATAAATGAATAAGAGAGTGCACTAAGGCACTATACAACACATAGAATTTCTAATTTTGAATTGTGAGACCACTACAGCAGTACCTGACAGCTGGCGTCTCTGCAAGGAGATCGGTTTGAGTGCACAGGACCGATCTGCATACATGCATCAACAGAGCGGTAACCAACAATATTCCGGCTATTATTATTATTATTATTATTATTGCCATTTATATAGCGCCAACAGATTCTGTAGTGCTTTACAATATTTTGAGAGGGGGGGATAACAATAAATAGGACAATTACAAGAAAACTTACAGGAACAATAGGTTGAAGAGGACCCTGCTCAAATGAGCTTACAGACTATAGGAGGTGGGGTATTAGAAACATTAGGACAAGAAATATCAAGTAGGAGTGAAGCAGAGCTGGAGGAGAGAGCAAAGCACTGTCCCATAGGAGAGAGCAGGAGACAGGTATGTAAGGTAGAGATTACTCTGGGAGTCCATAAGCTTTCCTGAAGAGATGGGTTTTAAGGCCCTTCTTAAATGATTGAAGACTAGGGGAGAGTCTGATGGCAGTAGGCAAGCTATTCCATAGGAGAGGAGCTGCCCGCAAGAGGTCCTGTAAGTGCGAGTTGGCCGTACGGGTGCGAGCAGCGGTCAGGAGGTGGTCACGGGCAGAGCGTAGGGTACGAGGAGGGGCATATCTATGGATTAGTGAAGAGATATAAGAGGGGCTAGAATTGTTCAGTGCTTTAAATGTATGGGTTAGCACTTTGAATTGACTCCTATAGCATACAGAGAGCCAATGTAAGGACTGGCAGAGGGGTGAGGTGTGAGAGGACCGACTAGAGAGGAAAATCAGTCTAGCTGCAGCATTCATTACAGACTGTAGCGGGGCAATACGGCTTTTGGGGAGACCAATCAGGAGAGGGTTACAGTAATCCATGCGGGAAATTACTAAAGCATGGACAAGCTCCTTGGTAGCATCTTGCGTAAGAAAGGGGCGAATGCGGGCTATGTTTTTGAGTTGGAACCTACAGGACTTGGCAACAAACTGGATGTGAGACTCAAAGGTGAGACCAGAGTCAAGTATGACGCCAAGGCAGCGTGCTTGCAGGGATGGACTTATGTGGATATCACTGACTTGAAGGGAGAGCGAGAGAGGAGGATCAGTATTAGGAGGAGGAAAGACAAGGAGTTCAGTTTTAGAGAGGTTAAGTTTCAGAAAGCATGAGGACATCCAGTCAGAGATGGAAGAAAGGCAAGCAGTGACACGTTGCAGGACGGCAGGGGAGAGGTCCGGGGAGGAGAGGTATATCTGAGTGTCATCAGCGTACAGGTGGTAATGGAATCCAAAAGAGGCAATAAGCTTGCCAAGAGAGGCAGTGTAAAGAGAAAATAGAAGGGGACCAAGGAGAGACCCTTGGGGAACTCCAACCGATACAGGACAAGGGGAGGAGGTATCCTTGGAAAAGGAGACACTGAATGAGCGTTTGGAGAGATAGGAGGAAAACCAAGAGAGGACAGAGTCACAGAGACCGAGCGATTGAAGAGTTTGAAGGAGGAGAGCATGATCAACACTGTATTGTACCAATGCTTATACAGAGGCACTTAGAAATAAGTTCCACTACTATATCCTGTAAGAGTTCTTATTAAGGGTTTTTTTTTTGTATGGGAAATAAACTGTTACTGAATTATAGTGATGTCCCGGACGGTTCGCTGGCGAATAGTTCCTGGTGAACATCGCTTGTTCGGCGAACATATGCGCTGTTCGGTCGGCCCCCTATTCATCATCATTGAGTAAACTTTTACCCTGTACCTCACAGTCAGCAGACACATTCCAGCCAATCAGCAGCAGACCCTCCCTCCCAGACCCTCCCACTTCCTGGACAGCATCCATTTTATATTCATTGTGAAGCTGCATTCTTAGTGAGAGGAGGGACAGTGTAGCTGCTGCTGATTTGATAGGGAAATTGATAGCTAGACTGGTGTATTCAGTGCCCACTACAGTCCTGAAGGACTCATCTGATCTCTGCTGTAAGGACAGCACCCCAAAAAGCCCTTTTTAGGGCTAGAACATCAGTCTGCTTTTTTTTTTCTGTGTAATGTAATTGCAGTTGCCTGCCTGCCAGCCTGTGTGTCAGGCTCACAGCATATACTGTGCCCACTTGCCCAGTGCCACCACTCACTCACTGGTGTCACAATAGCTTGCATTTAAAAAAAACAAAACTTTTTTGACTGTAATATAATAGCAGTCAGTTTCCTTCACTAGTGTGCGTTTCAGGGCCTGCCCAGTGCCACCACTCACTCACTGGTGTCCCAATAGCTTGCATTTAAAAAAAACTAAACTTTTTTGACTGTAATATAATAGCAGTCAGTTTCCTTCACGAGTGTGCGTTTCAGGGCCTGCCCAGTGCCACCACTCACTCACTGGTGTCACAATAGCTTGCATTTAAAAAAACAAAACTTTTTGGACTGTAATATAATAGCAGTCAGTTTCCTTCACAAGTGTGCGTTTCAGGGCCTGCCCAATGCCACCACTCACTCACTGGTGTCCCAATAGCTTGCATTGAAAAAAAAACAAAACTTTATGGACTGTAATATAATAGCAGTCAATTTCCTTCACGAGTGTGCGTTTCAGGGCCTGCCCAGTGCCACCACTCACTCACTGGTGTCCCAATAGCTTGCATTAAAAAAAACAAAAAACGTTTTGGACTGCAATATAATAGCAGTCAGTTTCCTTCACGCGTGTGCGTTTCAGGGCGTGCCCAGTGCCACCACTCACTCACTGGTGTCACAATAGCGTGCATTTAAAAAAAAAAAAAACGTTTTGGACTGTAATATAATAGCCATCAGTTTCCTTCATGAGTGTGCATTTCAGGGCCTGCCCAGTGCCACCACTCACTCACTGGTGTCCCAATAGCTTGCATTTAAAAAAAACTAAACTTTTTTGACTGTAATATAATAGCAGTCAGTTTCCTTCACACGTGTGCATTTCAGGGCCTGCCAGGGCACAGTGTCACACCAGTGCAACTCATATCTGGTGTAACAGTAGTGTACATTTAAGAAAAAAAATACAATTTTGAATGTAATAGATTGAATAGCAGTTAGTAGTCTGCCAGTGTGTGTGTCAGGCTCACAGCGTATACTGTGCCCACTTGCCCAGTGCCACCACTCATATCCGGTGTCACAATAGCTTGCATTTAACAAAAAAAAACTTTTTGGACTGTAATATAATAGCAGTCAGTTTCCTTCACGCGTGTGCGTTTCAGGGCCTGCCAGGGCACAGTGTCACACCAGTGCAACTCATATTTGGTGTAACAGTAGTGTACATTTAAGAAAAAAAATACAATTTTGAATGTAATAAATTGAATAGCAGTTAGTAGTCTGCCAGTGTGTGTGTCAGGCTCACAGCGTATACTGTGCCCACTTGCCCAGTGCCACCACTCATATCCGGTGTCACAATAGCTTGCATTTAGCAAAAAAAAAAACTTTTTGGACTGTAATATAATAGCAGTCAGTTTCCTTCACATGTGTGCGTTTCAGGGCCTGCCAGGGCACAGTGTCACACCAGTGCAACTCATATCTGGTGGCACATTAGATTGCACGTGCAGTGCCCCAAATTCGAAGAAGGAGGACCGACCAAGCATCTTTTTCCGTCTCCCAGTTCCTAAAATCGATGCCATATACACGTCCCCTGATAGGGGACGTAACAGGGATTAAACTGATAAGAATAGTACTACTTAACACAGCACTCCTATCTGGTGACACATTAGATTGCAAGCGCAGTGCCCCAAATTTGAAGTAGGAGGACCGACCAAGCATCTTTTTCCATTTCCCGGTTCCTAAAATCGATGCCATATACACGTCCCCTGATAGGGGACGTAACAGGGATTAAACTGATAGGAATAGTAGTACTTAACACACCTTATAATAACGCAGAGAGAGGCAACGCAGAGAGAGGAGTCTGAAGAAGAGGAGTCAGAGGAGGAAGGTGGCTTTGAGGAGGTGAAAGACCAAACACAGCTTGTTGTCACCTTTTGGGGACCCTTGGTGTTGTACGTGGCTGGGTGGAGGAAGAGACCTTCAATGACATCAGTGAGGACAAGGAATGGGACATGGCTAGCTTGGTATCCAACCTTGTGCAAATGGGGAGTTTGCGGTTGTGCAAATGGACTGTTTGCGGTTGTTTGCGGTGCGTTAAACGGGGAGTTTGGTCTGTCACTGTGAAGCGGGCGTAACCCTTACACTACCTGATCGATACAACATCATACCTGATGTTTTAAAGCACGTTATTCCAAACAATTTAGGAATGTTAGGTGATTTATGCCCTTTATGGATTAAAACCAGACTCTGCATCAACTATGTCATTTTCCATGGGAGTTTTGCCATGGATCCCCTTCCGGCATGCCACAGTCCAGGTGTTAGTCCCCTTGAAACAACTTTTTCATCACTATTGTGGCCAGAAAGAGTTGCTGTGGGTTTTAAAATCCGCCTGCCTATTGAAGTCTATGGCGGTTCGCCCGGTTCGCGAACATTTGCGGAAGTTCGCGTTCGCCGTTCGCGAACCGAAAATGTTATGTTTGTGACATCACTACTGAATTACGCTATTTTAGTATCTTTTCTGATTTAAGATTGGATACTAAGTTGCATCGGACGAAACTGACTTCAGTTACAGAGAACACAGATTATTTTATTTCCCTTTTAATTCCCTTAACAACTTGGACATATCCTTCCAAAATACTGACTTTGGAACTTTTACTACTGCTTAATATTGAACTATGTATAATTATCGAGAACACTCAATGTACATTATATCCAATTATAACCTTCTGGATCCTTTCCTTTCTGTACCCCTCACCCCTTATTCAGAAAAATGTGAAAAACTCTATAGCAATATGGAGCTCCTAGAAAAGAGACACGTTAGAATAGAAAAGAGGGACAGAAAAATTTGGACGCAAAATACGGACTGTCCCTCCTAAATAGGGGCACTTGGGAAGTAGTATGCACAGAGTAATGTGTCTCAGTTTTGCCCGAGGAAGTCACATTTTTAGCTTATTGCTTATCTATTTATTTATTTACAGAACTCTCAGTAACCATAAATGTTAAGATCTTTAAAATAAGTTATTGTCCCTTTTCCCAAAAATTTTTAGTTCAGGATGACTGGAAATTAGATCCTGTACCAGAATATATAAATACAGTTTATAAATCAGTGCTGCCACCTGCAGCTAGGAGGTCCAAGCATGTTCATCCACAATTTTAAGGGGTAGGCAACCTTTGGCATTCCATATGTTGTGAGCTAGAGTCCTCCTGATGCTTTGCCAGCATTATGACTGTAAGAGCATTATGGTAGATATAGTCCACAACATCTAGAATTCCAAAGATTGCCTTCCCCAACACTATTTCTTCACATCTCTGTAATGTTTTGAAGGCTCCAGACAGAGTTGCCAAATAGGAGATATCTTTTGTACAAAAAAAAGTGACAACTCTAGGCCAAAATATTAAAAGTAGTCAGTCAAATTTGTGTTTTACATATTTTTCATTTAAATCAAAGGTTCTTTATTGAAGAATTGTTAATTTTCACTAATAAAAGGGACACTTAGTGACATGGAAAAATGAAATTAATCCTGATTTGAAACATAGTTCCTCCTTTTGGCACTGCAAGGTTTACAATGTGGGACTTAACATTAAAATAATAATTGTCAAAACACAACTATTAAAATGGCTTAACAGACAAGATTTTTTTTTCTTTTTTAACAGGATGCGAAAAAACGCAATAGCACAACAAGGCACGGACTTATTTGCAACATTATTTCAAGCAATATGCTTGGCAGGAGTTACAGTAGCACCATAAAAAGTCCCTGATTTACATATTTTTGTAGGTTCTTGTTAATGAACCACATGATATATATATATAAAGCATTATAAAAGTAGATACTGTATATTTACATACAAACATGTGCTCAGAAATTTTAATAGCTCCTAAAGGAAGAACTTAGCACCTATGAAAGACGTCAAAGTGAAACTTTTATCAAATCAATTAAAATGTGTCTCTTTGTCGTATACAGAATTGTCTGTTGAAATACAGTTTCTCAACACATTTCCTGCAGTGGACCGCCTTAACAGTGGACTATTTCTTTGGATCTTTAAATATTAAAACTTGTGAATTTTGTTTTGTTTTACATTTTTTTTAATTTATCAAATATACATTTTAAAAAAATCCACAGAACCTTAAACAGTTCCGATCAATTTTAGGAAAAATGGAGGAAGCAAATTCCAGCTGTACCCTTCAATTTTTCATTAGGAAATGCCCAATAACGGTAATGTATGAGGATCTATAGTCCACTTGACTATTGGAGCCTAAAATTTGCACTCCCCTTTGTTAATTGTCACTAGTGATGTCCCGACCGGTTCGCCAAACGGTTCGCGAACGGTTCGCTGCGGACTCATCATTGAGTAAACTTTGACCATGTACCTCACAGTCAGCAGACACATTCCAGCCAATCAGCAGCAGACCCTCCCTCCCAGACCCTCCCACCTCCTGGACAGCTCACTAAGAATGCAGCTTCAAAATGGATGCTGTCCAGGTGGTGGGAGGGTCTGGTAGGGAGGGTCTGCTGCTGATTGGCTGGAATGTGTCTGCTGACTGTGAGGTACTGTCACGATAGTGACCCCTTCACACAGATGGTAACCCTGAAAGGGACGTATACCGGACCTTAGGGTGGCCGGACTTAACGTCAAAGAATAGTCAAGAAAAAGCCGAGGGTCAAAGGAGTACGGAAATCGGGATATACGAAAAAACCAAGCCAAAAGTCAGGGAGCCAGATAGGAGAATAGTCAGAACGAAAGCCAAGAGTCAAAATACCAGGAAAACAGCAAAACAGTAAAAGAGCACTAGGGGAACAATCAAGAACCACACTAGGGCACTGAGGTGTGGACAGGAATGCCCTTTTATACTAATGTGTGTGTCACTTTAAAGCCACGCCCCCAAAAGGTTCGGGAGCGTGGCCGCGTTTGAATTTTCGCGGAAAAATCATTATGACGTCGGCGCGTCCGAGAGGCTGAGCCGTCTCCCGGAAGTAGCCGGGGAAGCTGTCTTGCCGCGCGGGATCGGCGGACCCAGGTAAGGTATCGTTACAGGTACAGGGTCAAAGTTTACTCAATGATGAGTCCGTGGCGAACCGTTCGCGAACCGTTCGGCGAACCGTTCGGCGAACCATTCGGGACATCACTAATTGTCACCCCAATTTAGAGATGGCATATAACACTGTGAGTGTATACAACTAATACTACTGTACTAGTAATTTGGAAAAAATAAGATAAAAATAATAAAACAAATACCAAAAACAGGGAAGCAGAACTCTGTAACAATTGGACACCTGAAGAATAGACACAATTGACTAGTTTTTTTTTTTATGCTGGAGAGTCATAAAAAAAGTCATAAAAAATATTGCAATTAGTTCTTGGGGTGTGTTTATAGACCGGTAAAATATAATAAACAATTTGCATGATTAATGGTTATTTTGGACATCAATAGCATTTGTTTACTGAACTGAATTTCGTAATTTTGGCCAAAATAATTTATTTGGAAATTCTGTAGCCATTATCACTTGATAAAACTTTCACTTTAGGTAGAAAAATAGTATAAAAATAGCACCATTTCTCTGCTAAAAAACAACATTAAAACAACTACGATACATCATGTAATGCAAGTTGCAGCCACTGTAATTATATTAATATTTAAAAAAAAACACACAAATATTTCCCAGATGTAACAGCTCAGGAACTCAAGTCTCAGTTCTTTCCAAACTTTGCAGTTTTCGGGGTTTTCACAATCATACATAAAATTTAAAAATTACATTATGCATTTAATCCAGTTTTCTTAGTGTGTTCGCTTCCGTCTTGTGGTTTTTCTGAAAATCACAAAAGCAAAAAAGATTGGCTAAAGTGTACAGGTTGATATAAAAGCTCTCATTCTACTGATTAAATTCAGATCTTCTGCAGTTCAGCACTCACATTAAGGGATTAGTTCATTTAATTTTAATTAATTAATTAAAAATAAATTCTGATAAGTTGATTTATTGAGATTTTTTCCAAGCTTCCAATCTTGGTTCTCAATTTTTGTAATTTTAAAATTACTTGATCACAACTCACTATTTGATAAATAAATCCCCATGCCTTACATGACACTACGTCCTGTACAGTGGACAATAGAAATTATTTGTCTTTTTTTAAGTGGTGCAATAAACCACAAAACAAGTTGGTATCTTTCAAGCAGCCACTATTGAGCAGAGTGCCTGGCGAGGCATCACACAAAGCTTGCTGGACCTTCTAGCCTTCCCACCTGATCCTCTGTTCCCCTCCACAAAGGCAGAAAATCTGTCCAGAGAGGACCAACCCATGTCTTCTCAATGCAATTGTCATTCCATGACGTACCTGAGAAAACACTAAACTATGGTTGGATTATACTGAATAGCTTTGTTTCAATCGTATTAAACTGCCTAATACCTTTTTCTGAGTCATATCTCATGTAATCATCTCTCAGAGAAGCTTAAACCTAGCATCCGTCATCTTGTTCTTCTGGACCATCCCAGTTGGTCGTATTTTCACACTTTTATGTCCCTGATATGTACCAAGTATGAGTTTATTCATTCCAATGAAACTCCTAAATCTATTGGTTGCTTTAAAGGCAGATCTTTCTACTAGTTAATCACTTGCCAATAGAGGACCAAGCTTGAAGTCTTGAACGTATGTCAATGAGTGGCTGTCAAACTGGGAATGTTACGATACACTATATGGAGTGCTAGAGGTTAGTTTTAATACTTACGATAGATAGCCAAGTTCTGTTTGGGAGATTCATCAAAGCATGCTGTCCAGATATGCCCATCATTGTTGTAGGTATGACTTGAAAATTACCATATCCACTTCATGGACTATCAATGTTATTCATTAAACTGAGAATCCAAAGCGAATTTTAAATTTAAGGTCAAAATAGCTAATCTGGAAAGAAATTGTAAGGGACTTATGTTTTCAGTTTGGCTACTCTTGCCTTAAATTTGAAATACTCTCTGAATTCACTGTGAAATGTCACTCTAGTGAATAACCCTGTATATCAATCTGCCCCATAAGTAATAATTTTATCAGAGAACCAGCTGCTCATTCATTAATAGCATCTATGTTTTGGCCACGTGCAACTCACCTTCCTTCCTATGAACACACTGCAAGTCACACAGCTCCTTCTCATCGAACCGGTTGGCATTCCCACCACAGCCACTGTACACAAATGGACGACACTCTCCCACCAAGCGATTGTAATACCACCTCAAGGTGAACTTGCCACAGTCTCCCTCCTGCATGGGCAAGCTGCAGATATCTAGAGGTTGAGGGAATAACTTAGAATTGATAATGGACAACACTGTCTAGTGATCAGTAATAAAACGACAGCACTCGCTATTCAAAAATTCCCTTGATGTGACTACATTTTGCAATCCATGCTGTACATGGTAGAACTGGTCATCTATAGCAGATATAAGTGGCACAGTTGTATAGGGTAATATTATAGGTTGTTAACCCCATTTCCCTCCCCCCCTTATATCCTACACTCATGTTTGGGTATTTACAAAAAGTATACCTATAGGTTTGCTGGACGTGGTCGGCACGCAGGCTTTACACCCCTATATCCAGATCTTGGCTGGGAAAATATATTTTTTTACTTATTTTTTTGGAATTTTTAATGTTTTATTTTTTGTTTAGTTTTTTAAATTGTTTGTGTCTATTTATTTTCCATTGTTAACATACATGCGACCCACTTGCTACTTAAAGCTACCTTATGGGCGCACAATCAGCATCTCACTGCATTGCTCTTACAACAGTCATTACGGACTCAACCAGGGCCCATTTAAGATTTCCAACCTTCACGAGTCACATGCAGATTCATGGCTAGTCCCAACAGCCCACTAAAGGTCTGAGACAATTTTAAAGTTAACACAATGCATCTCGATAGGTTTTTATGTGTCTCTTGTTCATTTTTATTACGCTACTCCAGGGAGCCGAGCTTATCCCATCATGCTTTCTTACATAAAAGTCATGCACACCAGGAACTCTCATAATTTGAACCTACCATATGGACAGATATATCAGCATCTCACTGTTATACATATGCATTACTGTCAAGATGTCACTTGCTACTGGTGAAGCTACCACCTAGTTAACCATGCAGAGTTATGTGAACCATGCAGAGTTATGTGATGCCTACAACCAATTGATACTCTCTCACTGCTTATCCTTAAGCGTCATATGTAATGTCATGATTTGTTTAACTAGCCTTACGCAATACTGTTTCTTATACTGTTCACGAAGTATGCACTACTTCCCCTGTGTGGAAACACTGTTCACTAAGTTGATCTCAATATAACCAGGTTTAACACAAAAAGTATACCTAGGTTACCTGGCATCCTGAATGGAAATGTATGTTGGCACTCCCTCAAACAAATTGTAGAATGTTTTTGTGTGTCTCTCTGGAATGTCTCTAACAACTTTTGTTAGGGAAATTACACATGCCCTCACAATTATATACACATACATACATTCCTATACACACAAATTCATATACACATTCTCACATCGATATATACACACCAACACTCATACACACACTAATATTAATACACTCACACACATAAGTGATTTTTATTTAAAAGGACAATCCAGTCCCTCTAAAAAAAAGGACAATCCAGACCGTAATGGTCTCCCAAGAACAAATATATAAGATTCTATTTTGAGGGCACACGACCCCAGTGATGTTACATTGCATGTGGAAATCTCCGGCCTTTGTTGGAGAGGCTGTGGTCATAGAGGAACCAATTTTTACATGTAGTGGGGATGCGCTAAACTAGCAATGTTCACGTGGGAGGTGGAGAGCCTACTACAGGAGGTGCTCCATAGACCCCTGTCCAGGTTCTATGGTCGATGCTGTCCTCTCGTCCAATAGAGGGATTTCTGTCCCACTCAATTACGTAATAAGATAACACAAGCAGTTTGTAGATTACTGGCTGCCACATGGCTGGAGAATGGTGTTCTTTTAAGGAAGGAGTTTGAGTCTAAGGTCAATTAAAACTGGATACAATGTTATGGATTGACTTACTGCCTTGGTTCAAGGTTCTCTCCCCTAAGTCCACAAAACCTGGACCCATGGCTGGATTATGACCTTAATTATTAACTTGTCTACACCTAATTTATGAAAGTATTGCTGCAAGTCACCAGTGGGTGACAGTTTTTATCTTTCTCTCTCTTTTTGCTTTTGTCTGTCTTTTCTTTATATTTCATTTACTCTAAACTGGTTTGGTTTTGATATCCTCATTGTTTAACCTGACAGATTGAAGATACTTAATATGGGTAGCACTATTGTAACACAACGAATCTGCATGGCTCTCTGGTATTTCTGTCTGTGTTTAAATAAAAAAAACTGATAATTAAATAAGTAAATAAATTAAATAAATA